AATTGTAGCTACTTTTTTGGGAGTTTACCTTGCAAGATGCAGGTGAAAGATCTCAAATTCTATCCCCGATTTTTCACTGATCTGGGAATGGTAGAAACTGTACTTTGTTGATTACAGAGGGAATGACTGCTACCTGTTACACCCGTGCTAGAAGCAAACAACAGAATAGGACTGGGCCCAGCAATGTTGCTACCATTGGTTGAGCAGTCTGCTGACATGAACCCTCATGATTTTACTGAATGTCAGACACACGGGACATACCGAACAGTGCTATACACTAAATGTAATGAGCAAAGAATCAATACATTCAGGAGAGGAACACAAAGTTGGCGAGGAATGTTTACATACATCAGGTGATAAGACACTGATGCCAATGCTACTCTGATATTTGTCAAGTGAAATTCACACATGCGCTTGTCACATGCATATTCCTCACAAATCCAGCCATTAAATGAATTCAAATCTAATGTTCTAGATGTTGTGACCTACTGACAATATACCACGTATTGTGGTAACCTTAAAGAATCTTCTAAAGGGCCATATCAGACTCAAAACATTAACTTTGTTCCTCTCTCCACAGATGCTGCCAGACCTGCCGAATTTCTTGAATGCTTTTGATTTCTCATTTCCAGCATCAGTGGTATTTTGCTTTAATAATAAGTGAAAAATTGATAGAACACAAAATTTGGGTTAAATACTTCCAGTTGTGTGTTAGAAAGGCACCTGTTTGAACATATACTCTATTATTGTGGAGAAATGGAAAATTTTACCAATATCTGTTGATCTACAATGTCAGTGAAGTGCACACTGGCATTCGAAACTTTAGCAGCTCTGTTCATTAAGCATCACAACTCAATTCACTGAAAACTGAAAGTACCATTAAGTAAAACCTTAATTTAAAGGATTAAGGCATCTCTGAATAGAATTCACTTATTTTTTATTTAATTCTAAGAAACATAGGTAAAATAGTAGATTTGGGAGTGCATTAGAAGTTATTGGCTCAGATATTAGCATGGTAACACGAGTGAAACCGACAGCAAGTGCTGCCTTTACTTCATTATACCGACAGCAACTTCAGGAGTCTGGAAATGCACACATTCATTTAGAAAAACAGAAGTTGTTTCAGTGATGCTATACTCTTTTTTTTCAGAAAGTGCACTGCTGAGGACTCACCCCTAGACTGCAGTCAATGAAGAGACAAGATTTTTTTATTCTGGTCTCATCTCACTCATTGTAAAAATCCCTTGAGAAAAAGTTACACTTTATTGACCAAGATGTATTTGGATCTTAATAGCAAAGTAACTTCTTAATTACTACAGAATACTAAAAACTGGTCCTGAAAAGCTAATTTTATATTTGCAAAATGTCAAATTTCTTCTATCAAGAGTTCTACACATTTAAAATAAAATGTATTTAACTCTAATCATGTATTTTACAACAAGATATTTTAAGAGCTTTAGTGACCTTGTTTGCAATTGATGAATTCTTCAAGGCAATTGTTTGCATATTCTGCTTATTTACAACGTTGGTGCTGCTGCTGCACACCAAAATTTCCTTTGACTTAATGCCAGACACAACCACCATTAGGAAAGAGGAAACACATGCCATGGAGATTGCTACATCTTTGTGGTCAGCATTCTTTGACATCACCAGAAAATATTCTTGCTTTGTCACTCAGCATGAAATCTGGGCCAATGTTTTGGGGGAAGCATAACATCCCAAAACCTTAAATTGTTCTTTCCTGAAGCAAGAGGCACTCGACAATTCCAGATAATGCCAATATTTTTGCTTCTCAGTAGGTTGGGAGATAATGATTTCACATACACAATCTATAACTTTTATCATTAATCCAATTTATTGGTCAAATGAACAATTTACAATAACGAGATCCTCTCCATACATCATTACAACAAGAAATAGCTCTCATTCTCATTCTCCCCAGGTTAATTTTATGAAAACAGATTTGGCCCTTCACACTAAGTGAAATCGATTATATGAAAATACAAATTAGGAACAGAAAAAGGCTATTCAGCCCCTCTATTTTGTTTCAAAATTCACTAAAATCATGGTTGATCTGTTCATGTTTTGACTTCCACATTCACATCTACTCCCAATAACCTTTGATTTGCTTGCCTAACAATAAAAACTTACTATCTCCACCCTAAAAATACATAATGACATTGCCGCCAACTCTCTGAGTCAGGGAGTTCCAAGGTTACACAACTCTGAGAAAAAAAAACCTAAAAGACAACTCCTAGTTTTAAGACATTGCTTTAGTGTAGTCTTTGATTAATACAAGCTAGTTCTGGACTCACCTAGGAGAGGAAATATCCTTCCCACATTCATCCTGTCAAGATCTTATTTATATTTTAATCAACCTGTTTGGACAATCAACCTCTTTGGGACAGGTGGGACTTGAACCTGAAACCATTTGAGCCAGAGGAAGGGACACTACAATTGCACCACAAGTTTGTGAAAAGAAGGATCTTATATATTTCCAATCAAGTCACCCATGACTCTTCTAAACACGTGAAAACAAGAGCAGTCTGTCCAACCATTCCTCAGAGGGCAATGCACACTTTCCTGGTATCAATCCAGTACATAATTGTAAACTGGGGTAGCACAGTAGTTAGCACTGCCGCCTCACACTGCCAGGGCTGGGGTTTGATTCCAGCTTCTATCTGCATTATAGGCATTATGATTCTAAGCCTCCTCTGAACCATCTCCATCCCACATACATCCACAATTTGCAAGATGTGGTCTCATCAATGTGCTAAACAACTGAAGTATAACATCCTTACTTCTGTTCCTCGCAGAATAAAGGATAACATTCCATTAACATCTTAATTACTTGATGCACCTACATACTAACTTTTTTTGCGATTCATGCACCAGAATATCAAAACTCCTCTGCACCTCAGAAATACGCTCCACTTAGGTGGCATTCTTCGTTTATTCTTCCTAAATCAACATCACGTTTTCCCACATTATATTCCATCTGCCAGATTTTTGCCGACAAGTTCAACTTCTCCACATCTGTCTGCAGTCTCCATAAGTTCTGTTGACAACAGGGTGAAAGGATTTTCTGAAAGTCACTCACTTTACCAGTCCTTTCCATCCTTCTAAGTAATGTTCCTGCAGGATTTCTCCCTTGTCAGTCAGACATTCTTTGAAAGACCCAAGGACTTCAGTCAGACTGAACCGATCTGGATTAGCCATTTTAGAACCTGAAGCGAAGGAGTAGGGTGTTTTATTAACCAATCACAGTGCGGCTGTCCCCAGCCGGAAATCCCACCTCCGCACCGGCCCACACGGATCGAGCATTTCATTGGTCGTTGCCCTTGTCAGTCGGGTGGGGGTGCTGGGTGCCCTGGTAACGAGGGCCTGCTCGGCCTTGCTGTCGCCTGAGGTAGGCCTGGGTTTAGCGTGGTATTTCTGCCCGGTGTGTGACAACAGCGTTTAGGGGAAAGGGAAAGGAACAAGAACAAGAACAAGAACAAGAGTCGCTGTGATTGAGAGGAGTCCTTGTGCATTTAAAAACCCGTCGCCATCATTATGCAGCTGGAAAGTGATAATAAATCGAGGTGTATTTTTAAAATTGCAACGTATGAAATGTGAACCTGGAGACTTTAATTGTGGTTTTTTTTGTTCAAACCAGTGAAGGGAGGCCGCAACTGGCTTGCTGTCCTGTCCATTTTCACTGTCCGGAATTTTGCTGCTCCTCAGCAAATCTCATTGTAAACCAGTGTTGTGTACAATCTATTCCACTGAATTTGACAGTTTTTTTAAAAAAAAGTTCCCAGTTATTTTTAATGGGATGTATGTTGCTGAATTCAAATTTTTGAATAATTCAATTTTAAAGGCAGAAGATGACTTTGAATTATGAGTAGAGATCACAGTGGTGCAAGTTTTTTTTTCAACAGTCTGACTGCTTCTTTGTTACTTTTAATGTTACCAACAGCAGTTTTTTTTGTATTTTTAGTTATCCTTTGCAGGCACTTAAAATTTTTCAAGCTCCCGTAGTGGGCTATTGATTCATATTCTCTGAATTGTTAGTATAAGTCTCTGGAATTGTTTTGTCCAGTAATGACTATACCTGTTGATTTTATGAAGATCTTCATTAGTAGGTGTACCTGTGTGTTCAAGAGGCTGTAAAAATCGATGGGTTTCAGGGCTTTGTACCCTCTGAGACATTGAGTATAAAAACAAAGTTAATTTATTCAAACCACGGTACAATGAAGATTTGCTAGAATGATAAGAAATATTCCATTCATGTAGTAACTTTCTCTTTGAAATATACCTCCAGATTCTTCACAGATCATTGTATCATTGTAGCAGGAATAAAAGGCTGTAATTATGACCATATGCTCAAAAATTGATTCTTTCTTCACTGAAACAAGGAAACTTAGAGATTTCATGGAGATTTTGAAAATTCTTAAATATTTTAAGGAGTAAATAGTGCAGAATTGGTATGACAGGCTATTGAGGTTAAAACTAATTGTTTAAAGATTAATTGAACAACGTGAAGGCATTTCTTCCCCCAGAAGATAGTGAATGCCTGGAATTCAATATCCCAGAGAGTTGTGTAGCCTAGATCACTGAAAGTATTTGAAGGTAAATAGAGTTTTAAAATATCAGGGAGTTGAGAACTCTGAAGAACAGGTACAAGAGAGGAACTGAGGATTAGCGCACATCAAGCCATGATTTTATTGAGTAGCAGGATGGGATTGAGGGTACGAATAGTTTACTCCTGTTCCCATTTCTTAGGTTCTTGCGTTCAATATTTGAAAATGACATTTTGTATTAGGATATAGCTGTTGAAAAAATGGTTGTAAAGTTCTCTCAGTGACTTGGAGGTAAAGTTCAGGCCTCTAGACTTTAACATACATTCCATACCCCTGTCTCCCTGTTGCACAATGATACCGTCACTTCTTCTCTCATTTCTTACCCTTACATAGGAGAGACCAAACTGCTGGGCCATGAGATCTCCTGAGATTTTTTTACTGATACAGTCTGCTTTAAATTTAACAGATCCATTTTGCTGAATTTAAGATGAGTAACTGATTTCATAATTCATTCTTGGAGCCACAAGTATCAGTGAAATCTGATTGCAAATGCCAGAAATAAAGGTCACACCTTTAGGTAAGAATTCAAATATTCAGCCGTCTCTAGAATGACAAGGAGCAGCATTATTGGATATGATTGTTAATAAGAACTTAGAAAGCTTGCAGAATGACAAGTCCTTGTTTTTTCAGGGGCAGGCCAGGATGTGGGCCGCAGTTGTATCCTGGTCTCAATTGGTGGGAAAAACGTGATGCTGGATTGTGGAATGCACATGGGATATAATGATGATGTAAGTATATGGAACAATTGAATGGTAGAAAATACAGGAAAACACAGGCTTATGAAATAAAGGGATATCTGGCCAGTGTTTTACGATCTGAGTTTACATGGTTCATTTGTCAATTTTTGTGTATCCGTGTTTCCTTCAATGGACGTGGACCCAGTGATTGTTGGTCATTGCTCTTTTAGTAGAGGTGTTGAAGTGTTCCCAGTCTCCTGCAGTCTTCGGTGTCACATATCACTGGGGGCAGAGCCATCTCCATAACAGGAGTAGGTTGTAGGTTTATTAACCACTGTAGTTATCACTACAAACATTGATTGTCACTGTGACCCAGGAAAGGTCCATAGTTTCTGTACTCTTGCTGTTGGGTCTATATAGTGTACGAATAAACCAAATAGGACGGGAGTCAGAGATAGTAGGAACTGCAGATGCTGGAGAATCTGAGATAACAAGGTGTAGAGCTGGATGAACACAGCAGGCCAAGCAGCATCAGAGGAGCAGGAAGGCTGACGTTTCGGGCCTAGACCCTTCTTCAGAAATGGGGGAGGGGAAGGGGGTTCTGAAATAAATAGGGAGAGAGGGGGAGGCGGATAGAAG